TTAGGTAAGCGTCGGCCACAGTCTGCTCCCGAAATAAAACCTTGCCGGTAGACAAGCCCAGCTGCGAGATTGGCGCAGCGAGTCAACCCCAGCACAAATAAGCGACGCAGTTGATATGCTCAGTGGTAGCAGAGCTGGGAACTATGGCCTGAGACCCGGTAAGAGGGGCGCAAGGAGAAAGGGGGCCGTCAAGACAACACGCCCTTGATATATAAAAAGGTCACGAAACACAAGAGACAAGGCGCAGACGGAGATAGGAAGACGGTTTCCAAACCGCGTGACACGAATTGTCACGCCCCCGAGTCCGAGAGGTGGGGAGGGAGGGGAAGAGAGCAGTCAAGAGAACGAATGCAGTCGGAGTTTAGACCACGGCCAAGCGATGCCCCTTCCGAACATAGCATGTTGCGAGAGGGCCAGGACCGCATCGGATTCGGTGGTAGCTAGCGACGCGAGAGCTTCTGCCTGCAGCGATATATATACGTGATGGTCGTGAGGTATCCCCAGCCAGACTAACGAGCGACGCAGCACGTCATAAGTTTAAGAAAAGATACGCTTTAAAATAGAGGGAGCTAGCATTGGGACCGCAGCCAGGAACGACGGGCCCGTCACAACGGGTGTATCTCGACCCAACGCGTCGAATCTCTAGACAGGAGCCACCTACAGTGACACCGTCCTTCTCACCAGCCACAAAACTTTTCACGTGAGAAAACACACAAAACGCGCGCGCGCCCCCCGCGGATGATGGAGAAAATGAAAAACGAGCAGAAACGCGATGGTCGTTGCAGTGAAAACAGCGCTCACACAGGTTCCAGGATGTTCCACTTGCACTTGTCGCCCTCGCCACGCCGTGAACATGGCGCGCACGGTTGCGCACGATCACACCGAATTTTCCGCCTCTTGCATTCTGCAGGATTGCGTGGTGTTTTTATCCGGTAAATTTCAGTGATGAAAGGAGGGGATCAAATGGGAAGATGGTCGGTACGTAACGGCAATATAACAAGACCCGTTATATCCGTATGACGAAGGGAGATCACCGTCCATGCGGTTAGCCGGGTGGTTTTTGGCATCATAACACCGAGTGCGATTGCCAGTAAAAGCCGCAGAGTATCGGAGATGCACGGCATTGGTCGAACGTGTTGCCGACACCAGGTCCAATGATTCGCAGTAAGAGTGTGTGGGGTTGTAAAAGCAGAGTAAGAAACTGCGAGATGAATCTATAACACACGCACCTGTGCAGCTGAGCGCTTGCCTTCGTCTCTTCTTCTTGGGTGGGGGCAGGCCATCCGGGCCTACCACAACCGACTTGACAGCCTTTTTCCCGTCCATCTTGGCGAGATTAGAAGTCGATCCTCGTCTGGAAACACTCGCGCTTCCGGCGCCCCCGCCTTCACCACTGCTATCTCCGAACTGAGGGCCAGGTTCAGGGGCGAGCAGCATCGCCGTATGAGAGGGTATGGAGAGCTCGAGGGCATGGGCGCCCGAAGAGCTGAGCCGCTGGTCTGGGTGTTGGTGTTGGTGTTGGAATTGGAGACGTGCTTTGTCAGAAAGGCCCATAGCGCCGCTACCACCGATGATGCTACCCGCGCCGCTCGGCCGGGAAGAGTGACCTGCAGAGTTGGGGATCCATTCCTCATCCTCGTCCTCATCTCCTTGATCGTCGTCGTCGTCATCGTCTTCATTGTCGCTCCTGTCCCCGCGTTCATCGTCGTTCATGTCATCATCGTCTAGTTGATCCCGCTTTCGTCTTCCGACTGGTGT